CCCCCCTGAAAAATGACACCCTAGGCAAATGTCTTGTTTTTCTTGTGGTAAATACACCCTTGACACTACCTGTGTTTACAAACTTTCATACCTCCCTTACATTCACAAGAAATGTAGGTAGGAGGATTGAAGGATGAAAGTTACCATAGGAAGTGAAAGGGAACAACAATTTAAGGTGTTGGGAGGGGGGAGGTTGAAGTGCCACTGATCACCAATGAAGTGGGTTGGAGGTTTTTAAAATGCCACTGACCACCAAGGATTGGGGAGGGGAATGTATTGCTACAACTTCAGCGGGCAACTTTTAAAGGCTAAGAACAAACTAACCACTAACTAATACTAGAACATTTCTTAGGTTTAAAACCTTTGCAAAAATTGGACCACACTGGTGTGTATGCTTTTTTGTAAAAAGAGGTAGTTTTTAAGCTGGGGGGGGGGGGGGGTTTATTGTCCTGTTATTTTTGTTTGAAATGCTTTATAACAGAATGGGAAACTGTTTTCATTTTTTTTACATAAAAAAATAAATAACCCACTGGTTATCTACTTATTAAATGCCACAATTTCATCAAAACAAATCTGCTGTATCTGTCTCAAAAATGTCCTAAAATTAACTTAAAAATGTCCTAAAATTAATGGTGCACTCTCTGATGCTTGAGTAATTGTCAGTTAAACTACAGAACTAAAAAGAGCCTGATAATGAAGGGATATATACAGACTAGTACTCAAGTTGTTAGCAATACATGATATCAAATATTATTAAAAACTATCAGACTGCAGTGGTTGGAGAGAAGAATACATTTGGAAAATTTTAACAAATATGAGTGTGTCCCTGTGTTTTTTAGTTATGTTTCTGCCAAACATAATAAATGATTTAAATATCCAAAGATAAAATAAGGTAGCAAGTGATTCACTAAGAAACAGGCTACACTAGTTATGATAGGAGAGGATGAAGACACAAATTATTTAAATGTATGGCTCGTCTTCTCTGCAATGAAGCAATGAAGCAATACAGACACTTTCAAAAAAGTGACTCATGAAGCAAAGCTACATTATAAATGTAACAGATAATACAGTTTTATTCTGACCTTCATCGTATTCATAGCTTGCTAATGGATGGGTTAAATAATTGATGGTTTTAGCCATAAGCTATAAATCACAGCTGAGTTCAAATGTAGTCAAGCAACTTAAATACGTTTTAAGAAACAACAGATTATTTTGAATATCATAGTTTTTAAAGCACTTTTTTTACAAATGTTTTTATTGTAATTTTTTTATCTAGAATGATCAAATACAGAGCAAAATATCTAACATGTAAGGGTGCAAAGCAAAAATGTATTAAAAAAGTGACAGAGGCGATGTGAGCATCGGGTTTGGGAAGGCTACCCTAAATTAAAAGGGTAGCCTGGTGTTGGCTTTTTGACCTGTGCTGTGAGTGAAGTCCAATACAGTGCTATGCAGAAGTATAGGGAAAGAAGCTGTCCAAACCTGCCTGCCCTATGTGAAAAAGTAATTGCTCCTAAACCTAATAACTAGTTGTGCCAACCTTGGTGGAATCAGCTGAAATCAAGCATTTGCAATAACTGGCAATGAGTTTTTTCACTTTGCTTTGAAGGAATTTTGGCCCACTCTTCTTTGCCAAATTGTTTTAAATCCAGCCATATTAAAGGATTTTCAAGCATGAATTGCCCGTTTAAGGTCAAGCCACAGCCTTTTAATTGGATTTAAGTCCAGACTTTGATAAGGCCATTCCAAGACTTTTTTTTTTTTTTGGCTATTCAGAGGTGGACTTGCTGTTGTATTTTGGATCATTGTTCTGCTGCACAGCCAAGGGCGCTTGAGCTTGAGGTCACAAACTGATGACATTCTCCTTCAGGATTTTCTGGCAGAGTGCAGAAATCCTGGTTCCGTCAATTATGACTCTTTATCCTGGTCCTGAATCTGCAAAGCAGCCCCAGACCATCACACTACAACCTTCATGCTTGACTGTTGGTATGATGTTGTTTTTATGAAATGCTGTGTTAGTTGTTTGCCAGATGTAACGGGACACACACCTTCCAAAAAGTTCAACTTTTATCTCATCAGTCCACAGAATATTTGCCCAAAGTCTTGGGGATAATCAAGATTTTTTTTGGCCAATGTGAGATGAGCCTTTGTGTTCTTTTTGGTCAGCAGTGGCCTTGGAACTCTCCCATGGATGCCATTTTTGCCCAGTCTCTTATTATTCAATCATGAACACTTTCTTTAACTCCTTGATGCCAACTGATACCTCTTGGCGGCTGGGCCTGGATGCCAAGAGACTGCATATTTGCATACCATTTGAAAACACATATGTGCTGAGTGTGCTCCCTGCACACTCCCAGCACATATGTCGGTGTCTCACAGAAAGGTCCCGATCTCACCTTGCTATCGGGATCTTTTCTGATCATGTGACTGCCGTGACAGCGATTCGCAGTGGTCACATAACCCTAGAACCCCGCCCCACCTCCCGGTGTCTGAAACCCCTTAAAGGGTCGGGAGGCACCGTCGTGAAGAGATTAACTGAGGCAAGCGAGGCCTGCAGTTTGTTAGATGTTGTTCTGGGTTCTTTTCTGACCTCCTGGAAGAGTTGTCGTTGTGCTCTTAGAGTAATTTTGGTAGGCCAGCCACTCCTGGGTAGGTTCACCACTGTTCTAAGTTTTCTTCATTTGTGGATAATGGCTCCCACCATGGTTTTCTGGAATCCCAAAGCCTTAGAAATGGCTTTGTAACCCTTCCCAGACTGATACATATCAATTGCTGTGTTTCTCACCTGTTCTTGAATTTCTTTAGATTGTGGCATAATGTCAAAGCTCTGACACAACTCTGTATTACCAGCGGCACATGCAGTGAATGACAAAAGTGAGGCTTCCTATCTGTTATCTAGGTGTCTCATCACACAGCAGAAGTAAAAGAATGTTACATAACTTCCACTTTCAAGGCGAAACATGTCATCACTTTCACACCTGCAAATTATGTAGTTTTTTTCCATTTTTTGTCTAACCCCTGTATACATTTTCACTTAGGGGTGTACTCACTTTTAGACATTAATGGTTGTATGTTCAGTTATTTTGAGGGGACAGCAAATTTGCACTGTTATACAAGCTGTACACTCGCTACTTTATATTGTAGCAAAGTGTCATTTCTTCAGTGTTGTCACATGAAAAGATATAATAAAATATTTACAAAATGTGAGGGGTGTACCCTGTGAGATACTGTATATGTGTATGTGTATATATATACTGTATATAGGCAAATGAAAGCATATGGGCTTCAAGTAATTATTAGTATATTTGTATTTTTTCAGACATATTTTTGGGGCTTGAAGTAATGCTTGTTTTTTCCCAGATGTTTCCTCCAATAACAATACAGGCTACTCTTGCAATAAAAGGATATAAATGTTCTGTAAAATAAATTTACTCTGTTAAAAGAAGTCAAATAGATGAAGGCATGTTCATCTATTGATTTGAGCAACAATGAAGAACTTGGCTCTTTGACTGCACAGGCTGGTCAATAACAACCCAACAGTTTCTGAGCAGCCAACTTAACACAGTGGTGATTCTGTTGGAAACATAGCATTTACGTTACTTTAGTTATTGACAAAAACATTTAACAAACCATGGGTAGTAAAATGGTATTTAAAAGAAGCAACTATATTTTCTTATTTTGGGGAGTGTTAAACTCACAGCTTTTAGATGCCTACATTATTTAAAACGAACCATTCAGTAAACAATATTATTGCAGGCACCAAAAGACACTTGCACGTGCCTTTTGCTTTATTATAAATGTTATGAACTCCCTAGAGGCAGTACCACAATACCAGGCCATTGGTTGTTTAAAATTCTGACTTTTCAGGCAAGTCAATATTTGTAATGCCCCCTCTATCCCGTGTGGTGCCATAAGTGCAAGTAGATACTGCGGTCATTCAGAGAACCTGTTCTTGCCATTTATACACTTTTCTTTAACACATTTGCTAGACTTTTTCTATGGAATGTAACAAAGATGCCTAAATATGGGATACACTATTGAGAGATGGCAGTGGTTTAAAACACCCAAAAGTCAGTGGATTCTAAAGATGTGGGGGCACTGCATTTGGGATCCCTACAATCGGTAAGATATAATGCATAAACTTAAACATTGCATAAGTTGAAAGAGATAGCAAGTCTTAAAGAAGTTCCAAAAACTTGTTCCAAATTAGCAAAAAAATTTGAATATTTTCAGAAAATGGAAGGATTAACATGTTGTGGTTGTTTGGTGACAAGATACACTCATTTTTCTTTTAGTTTTTAGGGATCATAACTTTACATTTATTTCATAGACAGCACAAACATCAAGGAAGAGGTGCAAAGTGTGATAACCCATATTAACCAATCAGGTAACAGTTGAGGTGACTGAAGTAATATGATTGGTTATTTGGTCTTAAAAGTTGGGGGAGGGGGAGGGGGAGACGAAGGTAACATTTTTTAATTGGATTTTCCCAAATTTCTCTTTCGAGATTTATAAACAGGTGTGAATATATTTCATAACAAGTTGTATGTTCTGCTACTGTTTAATAATTTAACCACTTAAGCTCCAGTAGTATATACCCCCTTCATGACCAGGCCATTTTTCCCTATTTAGCACTGTTCTACTTTAACTGGTAATTGCGCAGTCATGCAACACTTTACCCAAATGAAACATATATTTTTTTCACACAAATGGAGTTTGTTGGGGGGTATATGATCACCATTGGGTTTTTTATTTTTAATTTTTTTATTATATAAATGAAAACAGACCAGAAATTTTGAAAAAAAAAAAACATTTTTTTTAACTTTCTGTTCTAAAACATATCCAATAAAAATGTTAAAAATACGATTTCTTCATGAATTTAGTCCAAACTGTATTTTGCTCATGTCTTTGGTAAAAACAAATCACAATAAGTGTGTATTTATTGGTTCGCCTGAAAGGTTATTGCGTCTACAACTGACGGTTCGTATACTAGCAATGGCAGTGATCATCAACTTATAGTAGGACTCAGGGGCGGACTGACCATTTGGGAACTCGGGCACTGCCCGAGGGTCCGGGGTCAGTAGTGGGCCCCATGAGATGCCCCTGCTACCTTTCATAGGCTTTTTTAGGTGTGGTTTGAGTGTGGGCGAGGACACAGGGGCCCCATGATCCCCTATTGCTCGGGGGTCCCATGAGTTGTCAGTCCGCCCCTGGTAGGACTATGAAAGTGCAAAGGGCAATCTGACACTGATACTTTGTAGGAACTGACTGACACTGACATCACCAGTGACATTAATATAGTGATCAGTGCTAACAATAAACACTGTCACTATACTAAAGACACTAGCGGGGAAGGGGTTAACATTTAAGGGCAATCAAAGAGTTAACTGTATGCCTAACAATGTTTACTGTGTGCTGTTTTTACTGTCTGTAGAGAACCTTTTGTTGTTTATCAACACAGGGCTCTCGTCTGTCATTCGCTCAGCAGGTTAGCGGGTCCCAGCCATAAATCATTGGCCGGGACCCACTGATTGGCTTGTGCTATAGCAAATAGTGCGCCCCCTACCTGGAAATCCCAGATCACATACACAATATGTGATCTGGCGCAGCAGAGCCACCGGACCTCAGTATATCTGCATGGGTTGGTCGCAAGCAGTTAAAGATCAATATGTAAAGTACAGTAACTCAGTGACCAATGACTGCTCTTGGCTAATGGAAGGTCAAATCTCAGTAAATATTAGTTTGTCAATTTACATATTGCATATTTGCACTAGCTTATTATAAATAAGCCTGCTTGTATGTTCTGTTCGGATATATTTTTTATCCTTCCTGTCATCTGTTTGGTGTTCTAATGTGGACAAATAAATGTTCAGTGGAAAAGAGAAATAAAAAAAGCAGTATACTGCATGCTTCAGCTAGTTTAGTTCTGCTCAAAATAACAAAAAAATGCAATAACAGAGATACCTGACGGCAAAATCTGTACAGTATATAAAAAAACTTTTCTGAAACAATACAATTGATTGTCAATGCTGACAGCTGGCATTCGTGCAAGAAAGTATACCCAAACTGGCATTGCCAAGTAACATTAAAAATGTCTTGAAAGATAAGTGAACTCTACTGTTTCCCTCAGAATTACTTTTTCTTTGACTGGAAATTATATGATTAACATAAAAAACAGGCAGTTTTTGTTATAGCTAGAGATGAGGGAATCTTCTTGGGTTTGGTTCAAGCTAGGTTTGGCAATCCCAATGGGAAGCTTGTTATGAGGGCATTGCATTGTGGGGGCTTTTTTTTTAGGTCAATTCACTGTTGCAACAACAAAGGACTTAAACATGCCCAATCACCAGCAGGTACACTTATATTACAGTTATGAGTACTGTCTCTATAGTTATTTATTATTCATACAATCTTCTTTTGCATCCATTGAAAAAATGATGCTTTCATTCACATGTGCGGCAGAGACTGCTGCTCCTTTTCAGAGGTGTGTGGCAGGTGGTGAGGAGATGATATGTTGCCTCCTCACCTCCTGATTGTACCCTTTAAATGCTGCAGGTTATTATTGTGGGGTGGTTGCAGGGTGGCCCCATTGAACTACATTAGTTGCATCCAGCAGCAGAACTGATTTTTTTTTTTTCCGTTTGCTTATTGTAATAGGCTTGAAACTCTCCATTAGCCCGTAAGTCAATATATAATCAATACTGCAATCTTCTAAGCAGAGCAAGGTATTAATAATGAATCCTCAAGTCACTAATAATGGCAAATAACATTTACTTACAGAAAAACTGGATTTTCAATCTCAGTATTTTACATGTGCTGGGAGCATTGTACATTTTGTCACTACATTAGTATCAAGGTATTTAAAAAATATGAAAGTCTTTGAGCAGGTACTTTCTGTCATTGGGGACAATGCTTCTGTCCCTTTCTACCATTTGTTCTCCTGCTTTGACACTTGTCACACAGGCTTCAGACAAGGGCTAGTTTTATGTTTTGGTTAGAATGGGAGGGTTGGGCTCAAAGATTTTAAAAGCAGTATGCAGTCTTTAAATGGTCACAGGACCATAGAACATCATTTTTGTTTTTTAGAATAAATCATAAATACAGTTATAAAAACTGAGAAATAGGGTGAACTATAAAAAAAAATCCTTTCACGTAACTTGTTACTTTATGTATAATTCTGGGGGTCTTGGAAGTAAGACAAGATTCTTGAGAAAATGTCCTCATTAAAAATTGTCCTGGAGAATTCCCTGCTGCTAGAGTTGCGGCTGTTCAGGAATTAATCTATTCAGAGATTCAGCAACAGTAACATCTGAACGGCAAGTGTATATTGTACTGTAACCAGATAGGAAACTTTGTAGAGTGTGGTACTGTAAGTAAAAATTAAGATTTAGTCCTGCTAGTGCAGCAGGCATTGGTTCATTCCAACCAAGGATCTTTCGATTAAGCCAAAATCTGGCAAATGTAGACAGCTTGACATCAACATGCATCTTGCTTGCCTCTAATCACTTGTGTTTGCTCCCAGTAGCATTAGTATGCCAGCCAACTACGTTCTGAGGTTGATTTACTAAAGGCAAATAGGCTGCTCGCCTTGCAAGGGAAGCTTAGCAAACGTGATGAGGTTGTACTGTGTAAAGAATACGCAATAATGCGCAAGGAGAATAAAAAAAAGTAATTTTTATCTGTACTTGATTGAATGATGTAAGTCAGCTTATTCACTAAGCAAAGGGAAAAATACCCTTGCAAAGTGTAAAGCATATTTGCCTTTAGTAAATTAAGCCCTCTGTCTCCTCCAATAGCACAATCAGGTATTATTTTGTGCATGATAAAAGCTGTGGGGCTTGTACAAAAGGGTATTATTATTCAGATGTGCCTGGGGTTGCATGATGTCTAACTATAGTTGTCAGGAATCAGCAGCAGAGATGGACAGATTTGTGTGGCTACATTTAGAAACTGAGACCGCACAAGCAAATGTGAAGATACAAGTGAACTACAGCCATATAACTAAAATGTCTACATAAGTAACAGGAAGCCTAACTACATAATAACAATATACAATATGTACAAAAATGGGGAACACTTATAAACAGGGTAGACTGGCGATACAGGGAACAGATTGGAAGGGAGGGCCAGGACTGGGATCAGGTACTCCGGAAACAGAAGTAAGGCAGCAGGGTACAGGATGTAGAGCAAGATCAAGATCAAGAGCAGGATATACGGAACCCAGTATCTGGCAGCAAACAAAACAAAACACTGAAGCAATGTTTACTAGTGGAGGAGAGACTAAATACCCTCCCAGAAGGCAGCATCAGGTGGCGACTGATTACTAGAAACTGCTGGCTGCTGGGAGGCAACTTCTGGTGGACACCAGAGCTACAACCTCCTGTTTTGGGAAGCACAATGCCACCAGCAGGTGATCCAGGTCCTGACAGTGACCAGGGGCAGACTGACCATTTGGAAATTTGGGCACTCCCCGAGGGCTCGGGGTCAGTAGGGGGCCCCATGAGATGCCCCTGGTCCCTTTTTCATAGGCTTTTTTGAGTTTGGGCAAGGACACAGGGGTCCCATGATCCCCTATTGCCCGGGGGCCCCATGAGTTGTCAGTCCGCCCCTGGTGGAGACAATGCTCTAGGCAAAGTTCTCATGCAAAGTGAGGAGATTATTTGTCTTTAGTAAATCATTCCCTTACTGCCTTACAGAAAGAAGACTGGATTGGCATGACAGAGAGGTCTCATCTCTCCTACTAAACCTTGATGCTGTGTTGGGACTCTTAAACTGAGCATCTCTTCAGTAATCCAGTAGAAGCTTTTAGAGCAACTCTTTATTATTAGTAGCATATGAATTAGTGTTGTTACTTTTCAGCTGCAATTTCAGCCTTGTCTTACCTGTATGTGATACTTGAATGTCCTTACGCACAAACAGTGGCACATCTATAGTGTGACAGTTCTTTGAAATACTATATATAGGAAGTTTTCCCTCATTCAGGTATGAATGGTCAGTACCCACTCCTTTACAACTTGAAACTTGAGCAATGAAGATCACTGATTGTCCCTTGAAAAGAAAGTCTGGGTCTTGTGACCTTATTTACTCCGGGGCTGTAGAAAAATCTAAATGCCATGTTAGGCTCTGTGATGGAGTTCTGGGTTACATATTAATCAGCATAATGGAATTTGGTGCATTTCCTTAAAAAAAAAAAATCTTGTGCCTTACAGAGTAATGCCGGTGGCGAGAGCCAGTTTTTCTTGGACGTCCAGAGGTCAGCTGTTCTCAGACGTTCTAAAAAGATGCCAAGACAACTAGAATTGCTTTGCTGTACAGGATAAAAATTCCAAGGAAAAAAAACTGCAAGAATGTACCTGAGCTTGTGGTACATATCAATCAACACAATGGTCACTGTTGCTGATGAAAATTGAAGAATAGATGTTCAGCTGTGTTCTGCAAACTCCAGTTTGATCTTGGGGTTATTTTGACTGGGATAGGTCTGAAGCCTGCAGCAGAGTACTTACATGCCAATGCCTGCTGCTTGTTCACATTTACCCACAGTGTGCCAGGCATCACACAGCTCATTTCCCTGAATACATCAAAGGCTTCAATCATAGAAGTATCACATTAATCTTCACAGATAAGGTTCTTTGAAGTTTACTAATGTCACTTTCTATGACAAGGGATTAACCACCATATTAATTTAGATTTTGGACTGTTTTCTAAGCAAGTAATCATTTTTCTAGTTAGAAAAGCATCAGGACTCACAAGATATGGGGCTGTTGGTGAGCTCATATATTTTGGCCGAAATACAAACTGATACCTCATTAGTTTGTGTGTTCTGGTCTTTTGGGGGGCAAATTAAAATGACATTTAAAATGCATACCGGCAATCTTCTTGATGAATTTTAGCAGACACTAAAAGCACGAATGCAAGTATTGTACAACCACAATGGAAATCCCTTCTTTTTTTTTTTTTTTTTTACTTTAGTGTGAACCCACACAAAGCATCAATTTTCTATACTCTGTAAATGTTACTGCTACTATACATTCAGAAACCACCATAGGTCTTATGATGACACATTGGAGATAAAATGAAGGAAAAGATTGTGTGTTTTGACCATAGTGACCTTTTGTATCTTTTAAATCCATTTTTCCAGTCTTTATTGGATCAGAGGAGAATTGAAATCTGGCTGATAAAAGTAGCATACATTCTATTGTGCCATCTGATTTGCAATTGTAGCAAGAACTACTGTACCAAAACAGGACATGGGCCATATGACTTCTTATCAATGCAGTTGTGCTCTGCAAGTAGTAGACTGGTAATACTGAGTTTCCCAGTGATCAGTAAGAAATGTAAAAAGTAATCAGAGATTAAAAGTACAGCTATCGAGAAAGTGTTGTTTCATGTTTTTCATATCCCTGGCAGATGGTTGAAGGAGTTTCCAGCATTGTGAATTGGGGGGTATGGTTGTCAGACTGAAAGGCTGAGCTTGCTCACCTGTATTCATGGCATGGTCACTGCTGAGGGCTAGGTTCCAGAGAAAGGCATATACATGGAGCAGATGGGCAACATTAGCATGAGGTGCACACCTTGAACTATTTTTTAAATTTCCAAAAAAGGGGTAAATGTCTAAAAACTCAAAGAAGGGGGAAATTAGGGAACCCTACCCTATGTATATGTCACTGTCATTTTGCGTTTGAGAATCAAGCTGTGAGAAGGAAACAGAGATCAATGTAAAAGAAACATATTCTAACTAGAAGGGAATGTGTTCTGTAAGTATCTGTAATATCAGAATGCATGCACAATAGTTATACTTCAATATGCTTTTCAGGATGAATGCAGTATAAACACAATATAAATTTTTACTAAAATTTCTTTTTTTTCTACAAAATTGTCTATTTCTACAAAATGTCTATTTTTTTCAATCATCTTAAGATTTCTTTTGATAAATGTCCTCATTATTCTCTCTGAATGTTCAATTTTCTAAGCTATAACTATTATTATTTGCCTTAACAACTGTTATTTTTTAGCAACAACAGCCAATGAAAGCTGAAATAAACAGTAAATGGGCTTAAAATAATCATTGCAGCAAATAACATGTGTGTTGTAGGTTGGTGCATTGATCCAAAATGTCAGCAAGGAATCCTTTTTACCAGTTGGGATCCTGCTTCCGTTTTTAAATTAAGTGTAGACAGTTTTTTTGTCAACAGAAGTCTGAAAACTTTTTGTAATGCATTGGTATATTGGTCTCTTTTGCTAAAATTGTGAGCTCCAGGAAGGTACCAAGATGATGCACTGTGGAAATGAATGACAGATTTGAAGTTTCTTTTATTTATTTATTTTTTTCTACATGTTTTTTTATTGCCATATGCAAGTAATAGACAGGATAACAATGTACGCTGCAAAAAGAGATGACTTGCAACAATTACTAGAGACAAAATAAGACAAAATATGTATAACCACATCAATAAAGTTGCACAGTATACATTGCCTATATTTATTTCAACACATAGCAAGCAATTTTATGTCTGTAAATGTTAAATAATAACTAGCCTCACAAAAACAAGAAAACACTTTGGATTGTATTATATTCTTTCACACTCCATATTATTGTTCATGGTATCACTGCTCTGCTGCAGAACCACATTGTATCATACCCAAACCATTTGGTCTGCTTTCACAAAGACCTTATATGCAGGCAGTTTAATTTATCAGTATCTTTCCCCTAGGGCAACATTACCAAAGTGTCAGTAGAGTCTACCTGTTAGGACCATATTTTTGCAATTTTTTGGGAGGCATCCTCTGACTTTGTATGGCCTTCTATGTAGGGGAATATCATTGTCACCAATGTCTTCTTTTTTTTTTTTTTTTTTTATTATAAATATTTATTAAATTTTTCCAATTCATATACAAAACATTTCAACATTTCTATTAAAATAATTATCCCAAATGTTTTCTCTTATTACATAAATTATCCCTGTATATGAAGTTTCTTTTAAAGCTGAACTCTACGCAAATAAATTTACATATAAAATACATATAAGGAACCTGGCTTACCTTCCAAAGGATTTGTATTCCTTTCCATCCTGTTCTGAGATTTACATAGCTCTGTTACACAGCATAGGCTTTCTGGCAAGGTAGGAGATCTGTTTTTTTTTTCTGTTGCAGCTAAGTAACACTTACAGGTCTTGTGACTGAACAATGAAAGGAGAAGCAGCACGCTGATGAACATATCTTTCTGTCACTCTGCTCTCTGCCACTATCAGCATCTTTTTTGCTATTATATAAGCATAGCAACGCAACTGACAGACTCCTTGTGGTAATTCTCCCTCTTCAGGTCTGATTTCTTCTATACAAAAGGTTGCAACAGGGTGATACCAGGTAAAATTCAAGTGCTTACACTGCTTGATAAAATACATTTAAAAACATACTATTAAATAGAGAGCTGCATTGAATTATGTACTTTAAAATGACCTTAAGTTTAGCTTTGAAGCTGAACAAAAACTTTCTCCTGAAAGGCGTTATTGTTATAGCCACAAGACCACTATAGTGGTTAAAAATATAATTAATAACAACATTGGAGGTAACAATGTTTGCCCAAATAGAAATACCTATTCAATGTTTAAAAAAGTATGAAAGCAAAATTACAACACAGAGTACTCTGACGTCATAAATTATGTATGAACGTAGCATAGGATGCTAGGTAAATGTAGTTTTTCCTTCTTCTGTAATCAAGGGAGCAGTGTTTGTCTTGGTCTGTTCAGGGTTTTCCAGGCTGGGAGTTTGATTGCTTCCCCCTGCCTTTAGAAGAAGCTTAAAAAGCTTAGAGATGTAGATAACCATCCTAAATATTAATCATGTTCCAGCCAATCCCTGGGGTTGGAAAGGCAAAATATGGTCTGATGCACTAGAGAACAGGGTTCTTTCTCCCCAGAAAGGTTCCAGAGCCCGCGGGGCTGCTGCCCTCAGGCAGCCCATGGACCGTGTAGCTGTTCTTGATGCCTCAGGGGGTGAAGGCCTGGCTGGATATATTTGGATGCTGATTGCAGGACCTCACCACAGGGGATCTATTATGGAGAAGGACTGTCTCACTCACTGGACCATGTTCAGAGGAAACTGTAAGTTGGTTGCTGTCCTGGGGAATTGTGAGTAAAGACCCTAACCTCTGTGGCTGTGTAGTCTTCTGGAAACTGCACTGTACCAGTAGTTGTGCATCAGTGCAAGGTAACAAGATTCCAAATAGACTTGCCTCATGGTCATCAGCTGCCTTGAACTGTCCAAGACCCACTAATACTTAAGGAGAAGATTGTCCTGTAAGCTTTAAGTGAAATATTTCATGCCCAGCTCCCCTCTCCTGTTATAGTTTTCTATCAGCAGTAAATCTTAAAAAGATATCCCCTAGACTGTATTATTGGGGCCAGTGTGAATGGACTGGTACTTGCAGTGGTGGGCAGCCTATTTGCATCTTATCTTTCAAGAATAGATTAAAATAACAAATATGTCAAAAACCTTTGTTAGAAATAAGCATCACCAGCAACGGGTCATTGTTACAGTCACAAGACCACCATAGGGGTTATAAACATTTCAAATTAACCTAAAAACATCACC